CTTGTTTTCCGCCTCCTCTCTCATCTCTGGTGCTTACTGTGTGGCTTCATGTTTTTTTTTTTTTTTTTTTTCTTCTTTCCCTCCTGTCTGTCTTGTACAGAATTATTCATCCAGGCTCAGTGTTGACGTCTGCGTATGAGACCACCGGCTGCTCCAGCGCGGCCTCGCGGCACGTTGTTTATGTAGAGCACGTCGTCATCCGCGTAACCATCACTCACAGCCGTCGTGGCGACCTTTCTATCACGCTCACGTCACCTGCAGGCACCGTGTCGCAGCTGCTGGCTCACAGGTAACATGGGGGCTGCTCCATACAAACTACTGTGGCGCCACCACGGCCCTATCCGCAGCAGAAGGGGCAAGGGTGGGGAGGGAGTTTCTGAGGGTGGAAACAAATTTGTTTGGAGCTCAGCATTCAGTGCTTGTACCATTAGTCTTCAGATGGCAGCCATGGGGAGAAGTCGATTTTGGCAAACGCGCTTGGAAAAGCAAAGCAGTGATGCTCATATGTTATTCCAGAGGAACCGGCTTTTGGGGAGGTTCTGTGAAAAAATAATTCCTGGCAAGCTTCCTATTTTCATCTTGTCCTTTTCTGAACCAAACTGAATTGAATGCATCATGAATAAAAAACACCAACACTTAAAGGGGAAGTGTTATGTAAATACAACTTTTCTGAGCTTCACATCATGTTTTAATGTTATTCCTTCATCACTAAAATACCGGGAGTGTCGCCCTGATTCTTTCATGAATGTTTGAGAAATCCTTTAATCACCCATGGCAACCATTGAGCTGTTAGCCTCTAGGGGTGGACCACCGAGCCCTCCCCTGCGACTCAGCTCCTTCAGACCAGCTCCTCCTAGCCAACATAAACTAGCAAACACTTGGTGGGACTGTGCATCAGCTGAGCTCCTTATACAAGCAGCTGCTTATGGCTTACAGTTTTAAATTTCTTATTCACCTAAAACTTTATCTTCTAAATTATCCTCATCCACTCGTGCATGTAGATCAGAAATGAGCAATCTCAGGCTGCCTCAGATTATTAATGAACAGTATGATTTCAGGATGAAATTGTTGGATTTATGCTCATATCCGTTCAGAGGATTTCCAAACTTTTTATAACACGTATCACCTCAGTAAAAACTTTGCTTTGCAAGTGCCACAATACCAACAGTCATTTTAAAACAGCAACACGAAACTTTTCAGGTTGTTGTTATGACCTAAAAACTAAGAAAAAACAAAGACTTTACAAAGCAGGACGTAATTGAACTGAGGGGTTTACATTTATTCTGAAGTCTAAATTTGACTTTGGAAAAAAAAAAAATGCTCTGTTAAAGTGAGAATTTTAAAGAGGAACATCCTGAATACTCAAAGTCCCATGACTGACTTGGTGACACCTACGGTAAAACTAGCTTGTCAAAACATTTTAAGATCTTTGTTTCATGAAATCTTTTGGCAGTGTACAATAACAACGTTGCGGTGAGCATGTAGCATGTTGAGCACATTGTGGGTAATCCACATTGTGGACTACCCACAATGTGGATTACCCACATTGTGGGTAGTCCAAGAGTAAACAGGATAATGATGAGAAGTGAAACATTTTAATGGAAACGGATTATAAAACTGAAGAAGACAGAGACCAACTAGACACAAATTGGCAAAATGTAGGGAGGAAAACATATGGATCTGACAACCAGTAGTTTAAATACAGGGGAGGGTGACTACTGGAACCAAGGACAGGTGAGTTCGATCACATTGTGTGATGAGACAGAAGCTTGAGGCTGCTGAACAAAAAAAAAAAAAAAACTGAGCAAAATGGAGATGGAGGAACACAGAGATACATTTAGCTGTGCAAGAAACAGTAGATCACAAAAGACACACAGAAAGCTAAATAGCATAATTCAACCAGAACCTGGAACTCAAACAAAACCTTGAAATAGTTGGGAGGTATGATTGTGAAAACAGCCTGAAACTCTTGATTTTGTTGATTTTCAACAAAACAAAACAAACAGATTCTATGCTTACTCCTCAAATATGAAACTGCTTTTCATTTGATCTGTAAAAGGTGTCCAGTCAGCACAGGCTCTCAAATTTCCAGAAACCTTCACATTTGTTTTACATTTGTCAAAAATAAAGAAGCAAAACTTTTGAGATAACATAAATAGCACTTTTTTATTTTTATTTATTTATTTTTTTTTTTTTTGCAACAATCCAACCAGGGAACTAATTACAAATTAAATATCCTATTAATTAAACAATGTTGCATTAAAGACATGTCTTAATTAGTGATGGTAGTAGTTGTATGCTCACGATTGTGTAATGTTTTGCTCTAGGCCTCTTGACAACTCCACTGAGGGATTTCAGAACTGGGAATTCATGACAGCTCATTCCTGGGGGGAGCAGGCAGCGGGAGAATGGACTTTGAAAATCACGGATACTCCCTCTCGGAAGCGAGACAGCAGCGCTGAATTAGGTTTGTTCTTTCTCTTTGTAGCATCTCTTCGTTGTGAGACCTATTTACACTGAACATCAAGAGGAGGCAGCTGAAACACAGCGCCAGCCTCGGGGGACAAACCTGTTTTTCTTTCTCTCTGTTGTTTCACAGGGATACTGAAGATGTGGTCTCTGGTGATTTATGGCACTGCAGAGCAGCCGTATCACATGCGCCGTCGGCGAGTCCGATCAGCAGAGCCCTCCGTGGATAGCGATCTCACAGAAGGATACGACGGTGAGTCGCGTTGTAGCTCAGGGTTTTCAGACGGCAACGTTATGAGCTTTGTCATGCAGTTGCAGAATGTGATTACAGGTTATCAGGCTATTATTTGCAAAAACACATAATAAAACAACCCAAAAGGCCTTTTGGGCTTGCATTTTGAGAGTATTTGCCATTTTAGGACCCTGTGACCCAGAATGCAGTGATGACGGCTGTGACGGGCCTGGCCCACAGCAGTGTGTCACATGTCTGCACTTTTTTCTCAAGTTCAAGAACAATTCAAGGTTAGCATGACTGCATAATGCTGGTTACAGTGAGTGGATGCAGATGGTAAGTGATGATACTGTTTTATTATCTCACTGTCTTACAAGATCCAATTTTCACATTTTAAAGTGTGCTTGAGTAGGGCCCTTAAAACATCTTAAAGCTCATCAAAGTTTTCCTTTGCATTTCATTCACTTATTTACAGTGCAGTATCTAAACATTCACATTTTTTGATTTATTTTAACACCACTTAGCTTTGACCTATGAATCGTTCACACACAAAAACACACAAACTCATGTGTGCATCCTGGCCATAATGATATATCAGCCTCCTGCAGTTTCAGCCCTTCATGGCTGGAGATCCACCAACGGCAAAGCGTTAAATTATGCTTACGGACATTGATATTATTAAACAACGTAAAGAAAAAAGTTTTAGGCAAAAGCTTTGTTTGAAAAACAAGTTTTAGTCACATGCACTTTGAGGCAGCAGTTTTAAGACTTCGCTTGGACTCAGCGCTGAAAACATTTGAAATTTGACTTGAACTTGTGCTTAATATCTTGAGACAGGAATTGAATTTCGCTCTAAGACTTTGGTATTGAATTTGACTTTTGACACCTATTTGAAGATTATTTTTTTTTTGCAAAAGACTTGATACCTAACTTGCGCTTCATCATCAAAACGTTTGACTTGAGCTCATTAGAGGACATCTCAGACTGCTTGCAACAAACAAGAATAATGTCTAACAAAAACAATCTTCAATTCAATATTAATCAAACTTTTTAGCTCTGATTTATTGCAAGAAGGGAAAAAATGTGCTAGTGTTACAGTTAATCCATTACTGATTACCAACAAACCAACATGGCTGATATTGAATGCCCTTGAGAATTGCTTTTTTGCAGTGTATTTCTTCATGTGAGTCTCCTTATCTTCATGTTTGTCCGTCAGGTTGTGTGTCTCAGAGTGTCCCCAAGGGTTCTGGGGTGACCGTCGGCGCTGCAAGAGGTGCTACTCCTCTTGTGCGAGTTGCAGCGGGAGTCGCAGCAACCAGTGCACCTCTTGTGTTCCTGGTCATCACCTGACAGAGGGAACCGACACCTGCACAGCCTCCTGTGGAGATAACTATTACCTGGACCACGGTCGGACATTTTGACTTGTCCTTCAAAAGTTTATTTTTGTTTTCCTTGCCTTTCTGAATATTTACGAAGGACATCACTGGTTGAACTTTTCAGACTTTCGTTGTTCATTCAGCAGAAATGAAGCATGCTAATAAACAGTCTGCTGCTGTAACTGTGGTTGAGAGGTGTGTGTGGGTGTGAGTATGGGTTGATTTCTGGTTCTGATGTCTATTGTTTTTTTGTTTTGTTTTTTTCCCCCACAGACACAGATCTGTGCAAGAAATGCAATGAAAACTGCTTGAAGTGCACCTCATACAGCATCTGCACAGAATGCAAACCAGGCACAAGGTGAAACAAATTCTCTGATGATGCTTGAATTAACTTCTCGGTAAACACGGCTCCCGTCGACGAGAATACTGATGCTCCCCGTGTAAACGCTCCAGGCTGCAGTACTTTGTTGCTCGCCTGTTGCCCAAATGAGAGAAAATAATTTTGGATTTTGCTTAATCAATACTGGAAAGCATAAAGCTATCTGAAAAAAAAACAAAAAAAAAAAAACATATTGCGTAGTTAGAAGTTTCCGGAATGCGGCGTTCACTGACTCAATTCGGCGAGGACGTGTGGTGGCGTGCTGTGGGCTGGAGGAGCGAACCTGCGAATATGAAGGCGATGACTCACGTTTTGTGGTGTCACATGACTGGCTGAGTGTGTCACGGTGCCACATGCTCTCTCCGCCCTCTCCAGTCTGCAGGGGAACCGGTGCCAGCGGAGCTGCGATGGCGGCTTCTACCACGTCGCGCAGGAAGACGAATGCAGGCCCTGTGACAAGGCCTGCGCTACCTGCGCAGGTGAGAACGGCAACAAGGCCTTACAGACGCAATCCGTGTCAAAATTAACAGCATTTAAAAAAAAAAAAATTGACATATTAGTCAATTTAAGAGCAATTTTTTCCCCTCTTGCGGCATCAGCGGCAGGTGTTGAGGCGTGCAGCCGTTGCGCAAAAGGTTTCTTGATGGAGGAGTGGAGGTGTGTGTCCTCCTGCAGCGCTGGCTTCTACGCCACAGAGCCAAGCCCAGAGATAGCGGATGGCCACAGGATATGTAGGAGGTGAGCTTTACTGGTGTGTGTTCAGGTGTGGGTGGTTTGTTTATTGGCTGATGGCAGGCTTTAATCTGGTGGTTGGCTCGCCTGCTTCGGCGCTCTGGGTTTGTTGTTGTTGCGCGCCTGCATGGAGTGTGGGAAGCTTATTTCCCTGCATTTTGTGTTGAATTTCTGCGCCGTTCTCCTCAGGTGCGACTCCAGCTGTCTCACCTGTGCCGGGCCGAGTTGGCAGAACTGCAGCAGCTGTTCCAGCGGTCACCGCCTCCAGGAGGGAGTGTGTGTTGTCAACACTGAGTGCACAGATGGTCAGTCAACCATCTTCCCTCCTCTATTCCATGTTGGCCTCAATGCTCCTGGAAAATAAACCTTGTTGTATACCCCCCCCCCCTCTCTCGCTTTTCTGATGTTTTTAAGGCAATAATAATAATAATAAAGTCTGGTTAATTTAACACATTTGCAAACGCCACTGAGATTATGCAGTGTGGCGCCTTTTAAATATGTGTTTAAACGTGGAGCCATTGGGTCCTACGTGCCTCCCTCTCTGTTCTGCATCTGACATTAAGCCTTCCTCTATGCCTCAGACGTCTATTCATTTCTGAGTCAGCATGCTTCTGTTGCTGTCTGTCAGGAGAGTATCAGGACAGTGATGGGGCGTGTCGCGCTTGTGATGCAACGTGTCTGAAGTGCACAGGGCCGCGAAGAGAGGACTGCATCAGCTGTGGCTCTTCACGGTGAGTTAGGCTTGGCTGTTTTAGATTCAGGGTCAAAGGGGAAAATGAATCCCTCCACCCACTTTATCTTAGAAGTAGATGCACGTTTCAAATGAACAACAAGCATACTTGCAAATACTTAAAACTACATCAGATTTCAATAGTTTATAGCAGGAAAATCCATATATGTTTTGTTTTTTTTTTATGGGTGAAATACAATAGATGTTTTAACACAGCAGCAGCCCCTCTATGATAATTATCCCTGCTATCCCACCTGTAAACAAAATATCCAAAATATCAATTTTGCTCTAGTAACACAATCTGACACTAGGCTAGCCAGAACTTCTAAGGTTTTTTCTGGGTGAGGATGTTCTCCCTGTGCATTTGTGGATTCTCTCCAGGTACTCCAGTTTCCTCCCACAGTCCAGAAACCAGAGTGAAAATTCAAGTGTTTTTTATTCCACCTTACTTTCCATATGTGCATAATTAATATGCTCAAATGAGAGTATTCTTTTTTTTTTTCCAAGAGCTTTGAACCTACTTATGCTTTTTATTCAGGATAGACTCAATTTATGGTAATATTTAAACAGCTTTTTTCAGGGTCAACAAAACGAAAAGTTAAGACAAGTAACAAACTGGGATCCATTTCTTGATCGTGTATATCTGTCCCCTTTCTTTACACATAATATAAAATGAAATTATAATAATGGATTAATTGTAAAAGCAGATAGTATTATATTGTAATAGGTTGTTTATTGTTACTGTATCTATTGTAAAAGAGGGAATGAGTGCAGAAGTGGTTGCAGGTAATAAAAAAAAAGTCCCTTTCACAAGATTCTGCAGGTTGAGACTTGCCTTAAGTTTTCGTCACCTCCTGGGTGAAAGGACCGAGTCTCTGCATGTTTACAACAGAACTGTTCTGTGGACCAGGCTAAAGAAAAGCAGATGAATGAAACATCAGCCTAATGCAGAGGTTCCCAAACTGTGGGGCGCGCACACTAGTGGGGTGCCATGCCTTTGCTCCCCCCCACACACACACATAGTTCAGCCCAACAGCTATTTGTAAGCCATAGGGGGGGGGGGGGGGGGAAAAAATTTTGGAAACCCCGGGGGGCCCAAGGGAAAAAAAATTTGGG